TACGCCGCTGTATATATACACCGGTATATAAAAACCTGAAAAAACAACATCTGACAAAATGGTTTAGTTACTGTAAAAACCTTTGTTTGATGAAATCTTTTTGAAAGTTTGATGTGGTTATGATCGGTTTGTTTGGCCTTTGGTGTCTAGTTTTAGAATATTTAATGTTTTTATTGCTGTCATGTCAACGACAGCAGCTTGTATATTAAACTGGATCTGCATGCCTTCAGGGAAAGTCCAACAACAGAATATCCCCCTTTGTAAATGTGTAACCAGTGAGATAATAAACTGGCTCACAGGGTATCCCTCAGAGTAACTAGCCTCTTTAAGAGAAATAGATACCACAAAGAAACGTAAATGTTCCACAGTTTGCACAGCAACAACCACGTGGGTGAAGTTTCATAGATTATAATCTGACATCTCGTTCCTCTGAAGGCACCATGGACCGCGCCACATGAGTATGGCAGAATATTGAAGTGAAGAAGTGTTAGGATCGCATGCATGTTTAAATATCAGAGGCAACAAATCTAAATCATTGGTGAATGGCTTTAACGGGTTAATAATCATAAATTATTGATTACTGAAGCAATCACAAACTAATTTGCTAATTGAATCATTACCTAAGGAGTAATGGTACAGATTTAGATACATGTCTATGCTAAAAGAATAACCTATTAACAGCAGTAATTAAGCTAAAACTCTGAAAAAATGTCTCATGTTAGATTACATATACATGGTTTTGTTGTAAATGTTCAATAAAGTTTTTTTTTCTTCTAAATTTCAAACTAGACATCCACTGATAGAGGTCTGTCAAAGTCGAAGTGGAACCGATTTCTTGGGGCAGATTTTTCAGACCAGTATCGGTTTTCTTGCAAAGTTTATACAAGTTTATAATATATAAAGATAGATATATTAATAAATATATATAAACACACACACATACAGGCACACACAAATATATATAGCTGCTGCTCATTACCATCATCAGAGGATCCACTATATAAGCTGTCTTCAAACCTTGCCTCAACGTCGCAGTGTTGTATCCAGTTGGTCAGCGCCTAAGCCTAGACTCTCTGAGTATCTTTGTGACTTTGAATCCAGCCAGGATTCTAACCGTTGTCTCTATCTTCCAGGAAACC